AACATAATTTCATCCAGATATTTCCATGTGGTGGTGTGTTGCATGTGTTCATCCCTGTTTTTTAGGGGTGTGTAGTGTTCCATTGTATGTACGTATCACAGTTTTTAATCCATTCATCTGTTGATGGAGATTTGGGTTGTTTCCAACTCCTTGCAAATGTGAACTGTGCCGCAATGAACATTCGAGCACAGATGTCTGGCTGTGGTTTGTTTCTTATCTCTTCTGGGTATATGCCCAGTAGGGGGATTACTGGGTCATGTGTTAGCTCAATTTCCATCTGTTTTAGATATCGCCAAATCTATTTCAACAAATCGATAATAGTTATACATACCTATAGGTCCACCAGCAGTGGACAAAAATTCCTATCTCTCCACATCCCCTTCAACACTTGTTACTCTCTGATTTTTTTTGAATTGGGCTATCTTTGAGGGTGTTAGGTGGTATCTCATAGTTGTTTTAATTTGAATTTCTCTTATTGCTGAGGATCTGGAACATTTTCTTATATGTTTATTGGCCATTTGGATTTCTGCCCTTGCAAACCTTCTGTTTAGGTACGTTGCCTACCTCCTCAATGGACAATTGGTTTTTTTCTTGTTGTAAGTTAGCCGAGTATTATGGATTTTAGTAATAAGGCCTTTGTCTGATGTGTCATTGCTAAAGATGTTTTCCCAGTCTATGGTCTCCCTTATTACACTCTTGGTGAATTCTTTCGATGTACACACATGTTTAAAAAGCCAGATGCAGCATTAGAGGTGAATTAGGCCAAACTCATTTCATGTGGTCTATAGAGAAAAGAATTTGCCCAAGGTCACAGTAAAACAGTGACAGAGACAAAGCCAGAGATCTTTGCATGTCAGGTATATTTTTATCACATCAACCTTAAACTACTATGTGTTGTGCATGGTCTCTTTTAGTCAATTTTTTAAAATGTAAAATTGTAGTCACTCTACTATCCAAAAATAGTAAGTGGCTGACTTAATGGGCTGAGTAAAAACATAAACTGAAGAACTTGCCCTATTTAACAGTTTCACTTAAAGGCTTAGCTGAGTCACTTCTTGCCTACAAAGCCACCATTATTTTCCAAGAAAGATTGTTGTGGGCAGTGCTGTGGACACTGTCATACATTGTCATGTAAGAACTAGGGGCCCATGAATAAAGGTGTTGTTAAATCCAACTTTGTATTGTCTGTGCTCTGTCAAAATCGGAAAAGTACACCAAGAAATAATAGAAAGGTAATCAGTCTCTAGTACTTTATCTTTTATTGTTGGTGAAAATATGGTTGCAGTCTATTTTGAATACTTTGAATTAAGAACACCATGTAAATAAAAGTTCTCATAATTTCTCAAGATTCCCCTGAAAACCCAGCATTCTTGTGAATTTCTAAGAGGTGGATTGACTCTACATAAGTCCAAATATAATGTTAAATTCTCAGCTTGACAAGAGATCCCCTTAATCACCAAAACAGTTTATTCAACATCAGCTTGCAGTGGTAGATTATTGAGAAGTTTTATAACAGCATGTTAGACCATACACTGGCTCCTATTGCCATTCCTTCTCAACTTAATCCTCTTTAACACTTTCACTTACATCCTTAAAAAAAGGAATGGCCCCAGCCCCCTTTTGAGAATTTTTACAATAGTGATGACTTATTATATAACACTGATAATAAATGATGGAAATATTTCTCTTCATTTTAACAGACTTCTCATTTACCCCTGCTCTAAATATAAATAAATCAGGTTCCATATTACTGAAGTTTCAAAGCCTTGAGTATTCCATGTGGCAATATGCACTCACCATGTCAAAAAAAGAAAACTAGCACTAGCTCTATATGTGGTTTCTAGAACTTCAATTATCCCCCACCTTGCTCCTCTTCAGGCACAATTTGGAGGATCTTTCGCCCTGGTAGGGTACTGGTTCTGCATTGGTTTTGCTATCCACATGGTCAGCAGTTCCAAACCACCATCAGTTCCTTGGGAGAAAGACTGGGCTTTCTACTGCTGTAAATAGTGATAGGCTCAGAAACCCACACGGGGTGTCATTATGAGTCAGCATTGACTCAATGGCAGTGAGAAAGTTTTTCAGGATATGAGTTCTTGGGTGTGGAAAGTCTAAAACAAAGAGTAGGGTGTGATAAAATTCAAGCTGTTTTCTAATTCTATTGTAAAATTTTAATAGTGAAAATGCATGCACATGGTAGACCAATTGGTTATCAAATGAATGAAGTATGTGCATTATACTCCTATAAGGTGGATTCTGTGATGCCTGTGTCTTTTGAAAGACTCAGTTCTTTCTAGAGGAGGTTCTACTTTAAAATCACTCAATAAATAATGTTTGTGGGCTACCAAACGTTCAGACATATCAACTTTGGTTCACTCACACAGTCAATAACATCTTTTAAGTGTGCTTTCTTTGATCTGCAGTGTACATGGGGCTAAGCACATTTTTTAAAAAGAATTCTAGGCTATATCTATCCACTATCAACAAAATATGGAAATAGAGTTGAACCAAGTCTTTTCCTTCCCTACCTATAATTTTCTCTGTTTCTAATTTTGTAGCAATAAAGTTTTAACTAGATAATCAAATGTATTTTGTGTGGCAGGTGCCAGGGTGTTTGTTTTCATTAATGTACCAAATGCATTTTTAATAAGGTGGCCTTTTGATTAACTGGCTTCAGGCATGGCTTTGAAACACTAAATGTGTGTATTTATATTCAGAATTTATTTTTATTATCTCCATATCCAAATAATCACGATGTGGCTATCTGAAAGATACATTACAATACATTATGACTTTTTTCCTATATTCACCCAAGCACAAAAATCAATATTATGAGAAGACACCATTATGAACCATTTATAAGATTGCAGAGATGAAGAAAACCCTGATTAATAAGACATGCATGAAAATAATTGGAATAAATCCACGTGAAAAGGTTTACAAATTTAGAAATATTCATTTTGTTAACTGTTTCGAACATTCAATAACAAAGAAATGAAAACTTCACAATTATAGTTTATCTTTGATGAAATGAGCTGTTTAAAGCAAAAGGTATGTACAAAACATGAAACCATTTAAAGATATTAATATAGCTTCCTGCCTGGTGAGCGAATGAAAGACACATCAGCAAAAAAGGAATAGCAATATCATTCAGGACTGATTCTCTAGGAAAACTCTCCCAGAGAATTTTTTCCCCTCATTATTCTCTTTCTTGATTTAAAGAGTGAAGTAGTCATGGATTATGTTTTTTGGTTAAAAATTCAATTTAAATATCAGTTAGGTGCTTCCAAAATAATACGGATTACAGTGAAGTAGCTACTACCAGCCATTGTGTGACAAGATTCCAAGATAAATTAATTGATGACATAACAAAGAATTAGTTTAGGCTAAAGTACAAGACAATTAAAATTATATTTGATAAATAAGTGTATATACAATGCTAAAATGCATTTATAAATCTTAACACCCATGAATAATACAGATTTTACCAGGTCTGTATAAAACATCTGTCTATCCTTATTCTACCATATACTCTCTGCTATCCAGTCAATGCTGATTCATAGCAACCCTAAAAGACAGGACAGACTGGTCCGATGGGTTTCCAAAAGTGTACCTGTTCATGGGCATATAAAGCCCTGTGTTTCTACCCTGCAGAGGCTGGTGATTTCAAGCTTCTAAATACATGGCATTGATCTGTGTGTTTTCTATTAAAGTAAAGCTGTCATGTGA